ACAGCGGAACACTGCCAACAATTCCTGCGCAGCTCCTTCTAATAAAGCCCAGTAACCTATTTGCTTTAGCAACTATCATGAGTATATGATCTTTCCAAGAGGTGTTATTTACGATCACTACCCCCAAATCTTTTTCAGTTGAGACAACCTCCACATCTATACRATTTACACTATAGCTACGATATGGACTGATACGTTTCCTAGATATACGCAGATTACGCAGATCACTTTGTAGGCTGAAAATACAATTCATTTGACAGGACCAAGTTGTAAGCAAAACTAAATCCTGCTGCAATTCCGTAAAATCAGTATCATTATTTATGATCCTATAACATTTAGAATCGTCAGCAAACATAGCCAGCGTCGCACTATTCATTACATTTGGCATGTTATTTACAAATAATAAAAAGAGAATCGATCCTAGAAGTGACCCCTGGGGGTCCGCCTGACCCAACGTCCGTCCAGTTACTGAAAGTTCCATTTATAACCACTCTTTGACGCCTTCCAGTTAGGTATGAGTCGTGCGAGTCCAAAAGATTAGTCAAACAAAATCGCTTCTTGGGTGACGAGAGGCGAATTTTGCATCAAGTTCAGTTCAAGTTAAGGCGTTTCATGTCTTAGTTATATAGAGAAAAAGTAATAATGAACTCACCATACAAAGAAAAGCCGTGAAAGGGGATGATACCTGTTGATGGAGAGAGAAAAAGTTACTGAAAAACGTGGCACTTGGAGTGCAGTCTAATAAAGATAGGAAGCTTATTTCCATTTTGCCATAAAAAACCGTTTAAGAAAATAAAATTTGATGAAACAGTCACGGCTCTTGACTCAGTGACGAACAAGTATTTCATACCCGCACACGTTTACATAGGACACAACTCTTTAACTGAAAGGGCGCTTAAGGTAAAGCTTGATGATCAACTCGATACGTTATCTGAATTCTGTAGCATTGCAGCTCTTTGTACACTTACAGCATTTCCGAGAAGTTACACCTACCATTTGGGGGATAAAACACAGCATAATCTTGAACACCAAGTTTGCCTGAAAGAAAGCAAGGCACGAATGTTCTTTACCCGAGAAATATTGTATAGCAAAGCGATCTTCACGCATCCCATCGAAGGGGAAAAGCTAAGCAACACTTTTCGTTGCTTCGTGTCGGGGAACCCAGAGCAAGCTCCAGCCAAAACAAAGCTGGTCAATTTTCTTGGATAAAAAGTTACGCTTTATGAACACATTACCTCGAATGAAAGATTTTGGGGGCGTGGCACTGGAAAGTTCAAAATGCTCTAGGATGGATGTATCTCGACTGAAAACAAGTAGAGCCTGAAAAAGGAAAAATTTCAATTTCATCAATTCAGCAGCTCGCCTGATATCTCAACATCGGCATAATTGTGCATTTTTAAACACTGCACCTACTTGGCACAGAACATCTTCAAACACAAAGTAGTCATCATCGTTCGATGACGTGAGCTTGATGTCCTGTTAAGATGAAGGAACAGTAACGAAGACTCAGCAAAATTGGTCTGGAGACTTGGCAATATTTCAAACTACATATTCATCCATCAGTAAAATAGTTTCTGTTTTTGCGGCAACTTTCTGACACCTCTTTTTATCAAAAGGTCGACAAAGACCTCACTGCCAGCAATCAAAACAACGTCAAGAATACGATCAACCAACTAATAACTAAACAAGAATTGCCGGCCACAGCAAAAAATCTCAACATAACCACTCCTAGAAATTCTCGTATTTACTTTTTACCTAAAATTCACAAACCTAACAACCCGGGTCGGCTCATTGTTTCGGCTTGCAGTTGCCCTACCGAACTTATCTCCAGCTATCTAGACAAAATTATGGCTCCCATCGTCAAAACTTTACCATCATATATTAAAGACAGCCAACACGCTATTCAAATTTGTCGCGACTTTAATTTCCTTGGCCAAAACAAACTTCCTTTCACCATGGATATTACGTCTCTTTACACTGTCATTCCTAATGGCGACGGTCTTCTAGCCCTTAAACATTTTTTTGATCAACGTACTGTTAAGGAACCTAAATCTGAAACACTACTACAGTTAGCCGAACTAGTGCTCACACTCAATTGTTTTTCATTCGGGGATAACTTTTTCAATCAAACCAATGGTGTAGCCATGGGTACCAAAATGGGACCTAGCTATGCCAATCTTTTTGTAGGTTTTGTCGAACATCAATTTTTCAGCCAATACAACGGCTCCAAACCTGAACTCTACGGTCGCTACATCGACGACTGTATTGGCGCCACCTCCTCTACCAGAGAGGAGCT